GGCCCTTAAAGTAAAAAGACACCGTCAGGGCCCTTAAAGTAAAAAGACACCGCATCAGGGCCCTTAAAGTTAAAAGACACCACGCCGGGGCCACCACACCGCGTCAGGGCCCTTAATTTAAAAAGACACCGCGTCAGGGCCCCCGGGCCCTTAAAGTAAAAAGACACCGCGTCAGGGCCCTTAATTTAAAAAGACACCGCGTCAGGGCCCCCGGGCCCTTAAAGTAAAAAGACACCGCGTCAGGGCCCTTAAAGTAAAAAGACACCGCGTCAGGGCCCTTAATTTAAAAAGACACCGCGTCAGGGCCCCCAGTCCCTTAAAGTAAAAAGACACCGCGTCGGGCCCTTAAAGTAAAAAGATACCACATCGAGGCCCTTAAAAAGACACCGCGTCAGGGCCCTTAATTTAAAGACACTCCGTCGGGTCCCTTAAAGTAAAAAGACATCGCATCAGGGCCCTTAAAGTAAAAAGACATCGCGTCAGGGCCCTTAAATTAAAAAGACACCGCGTCAGGGCCCTTAAATTAAAAAGACACCGTCGGGTCCCTTAAAGTAAAAAGACATCGCATCAGGGCCCTTAAAGTAAAAAGACATCGCATCAGGGCCCTTAAAGTAAAAAGACATCGCGTCAGGGCCCTTAAAGTTAAAAGACACCATGCCGGGGCCACCGGGCCCTTAAAGTAAAAAGACACCGTGTCAGGGCTCTTAAATTAAAAAGACACCTCGTCAGGGCCCTTAATTTAAAAAGACACCGCGTCAGGGCCCCCAGTCCCTTAAAGTAAAAAGACACCGCGTCGGGCCCTTAAAGTAAAAAGATACCACACCGAGGCCCTTAAATTAAAAAGACCGCGTCGGGGCCCTTAAAGTAAAAAGACACCGTCGGGGCCCTTAAAGTTAAAAGACACCACGTCAGGGCCCTTAAATTAAAAAGACACCGCGTCAGGGCCCTTAAAGTAAAAAGACACCGTCGGGGCCCTTAATTTAAAAAGACACCGAAAGACACAGAGGCAGGGCCCTTAAAGTTAAAAGACACCACGCCGGGGCCACCGGGCCCTTAAAGTAAAAAGACACCGCGTCAGGGCCCTTAAAGTAAAAAGACACCGCGTCAGGGCCCTTAAAGTAAAAAGACACCGCGTCAGGGCCCTTAAAGTAAAAAGACACCGCGTCAGGGCCCTTAAAGTAAAAAGACATCGCGTCAGGGCCCTTAAAGTAAAAAGACACCGCGTCGGGGCCCTCAAATTAAAAAGACACCGCGTCGGGGCCCTTAAAGTAAAAAGACACCACGTCGGGGTCCCCGGGCCCTTAAAGTAAAAAAAACACCTCGTCAGGGCCCTTAAAGTAAAAAGACACCGTCGGGGCCCTTAATTAAAAAAGACATCGCGTCAGGGCCCTTAAATTAAAAAGACACCGCTTAGGGGCCCTTAAAGTAAAAAGACACCGTCAGGGCCCTTAAAGTAAAAAGACACCGTCAGGGCCCTTAAAGTAAAAAGACATCACGTCAGGGCCCTTAAAGTAAAAAGACACCACGTCAGGGCCCTTAAAGTAAAGAAAACGATACCGCGTCAGGGCCCTTAAAGAAAAAGATACCGCGTCGGCAAAGAGACGTGGAAATCACAGCCTTCGGTCATATTCCTGTCAGTTTACAAGTCCGTTACAACCCTAATTTAATGTGGACCCCAAGAAATCGCCCTCCCCACCTCAGGCCGCGCCTTGAGCCTGTCAGCCTTACGCGGCCTCTGCGCAGCTGAGGTAATAACCATTCTAGAGGCCTAGGCCGGACAGCCTTAGTTCATGGCCTCTGTCCGGTAGACGCCGGGAAACCCCCCACCTCAGGGGATGAAACAGTCAAAAATGACACTAATTTCTTAAGAATTTCTAGAAATTCGGTACCTGTAGGTGTTACTGACACTGTCCGCCCTGATTCTGCCGCTGTGGAAGTGAAGCCAAGACACAAAAG